TAAAGGTAACTTGGGGCGAACCCAAAGCCACCTGTAATCAGTTCGGGTCCCGCGTTCGGAAAGCCATGAGTGCCATCAAGCGGGATTCTGCGTCGTAACTCAGCCCCTTCAGCTGACCAGATCAGCCGTTCGATTACGGCAGACATGTGAGCGTCGTTATGGCAACGAACAAGCCTGTGTCCTGTAAGAAATGCGAAAGGACACGTGAAGGTGGACTCGTTCAGTTCCCAACTTTGTGACCTAGGTAACCCATGTTGACAACTTGCAAAAACCTATACAGTCAAATCTGAAGACTTTTCTCAAGGACTTAATCAGTCCGAAAGCGAGAGGCAAACCTTGAGAGCCGTCGTAGCTCCATTCTGCTTCCCGATTCGATTGCTGCAGCTGTCGGAATGGCGAGTCGGCCCCCAGTGGGGTGGAACTCTGTCGAAACTGCAACCACAAAATTCGAGTACGCAATGGACCTTAATACGGGAGTGGTCCAGGCTCTCGTAGAGCTGGCTCTGTGATAAAACCCCAGGGGGTACTTATGGAGAGTGCATGGGGGTAGCCTGCATGGAAAGATTGAGTAGCTTTAAATTTACAATGAAAACTACTTGTTGTGGTTCAGAGTGCATTAAAACTAGAACGGCCAATATAATAAATGGTTAAAATAACTAGCTAAATGTAATGCATAAACGGTTGAAACTGTTAACAAAACGTACGGAAACAATTAGCCAAAAGTACAGGCTAAATGCTAAGACCTTAAAATCGTTAGCTTAACGAATAAACAGCTGGAATACAAAGCTAAAAGTGATGAATATAAGGTTGATATAGCCGAAAGTAATGGTTTAAATGTCCACCTATTGTCACTGCAAGTGTTAGTCTAGCTTACGAATGCAAACTTGACCAAAATGACCTAAAATTTCAAAGTTTAATTTATTTAAATATTCTGACAATATTCTTCTAACATTTCTCTAAAAACTTACCAAAAGTTATGGCCCATATTTATGTGTTTCTATTTTCTCACAAACTAATCTCTTGTCAAACTAATCAGCTATAGAAAACTTGTTCAGGGCCAGTGTATTGATCGTTTCATAACTTTAATTAAAATTCTGTGCGAAGGTCAGTTAAAAGAGCAACTAATCAAACCTGATTCTTTTCTCATCAATAGACTGAGACTGATTCAATCCAATATGATTCTCAGAAAGGTCAATATGTTTGTAATAGTGCGTGTGTGTGCGTGTGTGTGTATCAGGGACATGTCTTATCACTTATATATAAGCCTGAGTGACATGTGTGTACCTGTGCTTCTATCTTTGTGAGGACTATTACATTGGAAATGAGGACATTTTGTCGAGTCCCCACTTCTTCAAAATGTCAGTTTGAAGGTTTAAACACTTAGCTTAATTAAAACCTAAATCTAAGTGTACATTTTGGAGATAAACAGTAGGTGTGATAAAGGTAATGTAAGAACGCATTAGCTAGTCAGAGTCCCCACATGTCCTTAATATAAGCCTTTGTGTGTGCACCTTTTCAAACTTAACCAAGGCTGAAGTCTGCTATTTCCAAAACATCACAAGTCCAACATGTGGAACTAGAAACAGGAAGTGTTTAAGGGTTTTTACAGTGTTGCAGCAACACGCAGAAATTAAGAAAATATGTCAGTAACACTTAAAGTTAAACAAACTCACAGGAACGTAATATCACTTGTAAGCTTCCCTACAAATTTTCTGACTATTACGTACGTCAGCTGGACTACTAATCGTCTCCCTCATTAAAAGATTATTCAAATTCAGCCAATCAGGTCAATTTACAGCATTTAGAGCTGCTAAGAGCTGCAGGATCTCATACTTCGAGGACTTGATATTTACAAATGTATTCAGTAGTTACCCTTTAGCTCATCTGAATTAATTCGCAAAACGCCCCGAGAGATCCTTGTTCAGACAGTCTATTCAGAATAATGTGACCTTTTAAAAAAACACAAAGCAGCTGTGAAATGCATGAATGAAATATGTGACTTACTGCGGTGACTCTTAACGCGAGGTCTGGGGACCACAAAAGGGTCACTGTGGGGGATCAAATGGTCCTGTAGCAAAACAAAGAATCATTTGACTTCATACACACAGACTAAAAAGAAATTAATAAATAGCAGAAGGCAATGAATGAATGAGTTATAGTAACAAAACAAAACAGGGATTTCCATTTTGACCAAGATATCTGCAGCAAAGGGAAATGATTTGGTAATAAATTATTTATTTGCCCTTGTTGAGAATTTACAGTATAAGCAGGACACAGATATTTAATAGATGGTTTAGGGAGGCTTAAAGTGTTGCCAATGTCACAACCCTAACCCTTTATAAAATTTTAATATTACAACATCACAAAGACGTACAAACATCAGTGCAGCATAATGTGATAAAATTAGTAAAATATTTGTATTTTAAAATACTAAAACATGAAATACAATTTAAAAAAAACAGTTTTTCAACAACTTTGGTTTTATATTTGTGGCTCTGTGCACAGACAGAATAAACTATAATAATAATAATAATAATAATAATAATAATAATAATAATAATAATAGATTAATAAAAGCAATAAAATCAAATAAAAATAACCAACACTAAACACGTCTGTACAAAATGTCATGAAAATCAATGAGATTGAGATATTATCAACCTGCACTTGTATAAACTGTCCAAAAAAAAATCAATTGAAATAGAATAAAATTGAATTTTTAAATCAAGTTAAAGGGCACTGGAGGCAGCAGAGTATGGAAATAAGCACCATCTGTCAGTTAAGTGGTGTGAAAACAGGTGCAGCGTGTAAAAGAAAACAAACACTCGAGCTGCCAACTCACTTCAACAGAGTTTAAAAAAAAAAAACATAGGAGAAACCAGACGGAAGCAAAGCAGGAGGTGTTGATACGTGTGCGAGGATAATGTTCTGTTACTTATAATCAACCTTTTACCAACAAGGAAGTCCTCCGACTCCGTTGTTTTGTCTTTTAACTTCCCGTCTAGTCTGGAAAGTGGGAATGTGTCGCGTTGTGTAGACTGAAATCTTCCTAAAATGTTAAATATCTCGACAGCTGTAATCGAAAGGTACAGTGTGAAAGCTGGAAGACAAAGAGGCTTTCTTCATATGATTGCTGGAGCTGGTAATTAGATTAGTTCTCCCACACAGCTCTGGGATCAGCTGGGTGCTGTTATAATAGTATGTAATAGGCTGGTCAGAAAGTGTTGGTATCAACGGTGGAAGAAGAAGTTGGATCAGTTATGGAAGTAAAAGTAGGAAAACCACAATGTAGAGATCATAATTTTATATAAAGTTGTGTTATATATCATTGAGTTAATTGACTATATTCAACAAATACAGAAACAAACTGTACGAATTAATTTAGTTGTCTTCATAAAATGAATGAAATGTTGAAATGTCTGTCTACTGTGTATATTTTTTAAGTTTTTGTTTTAACACGACTTAAAATCAAGAAGGCCTCCCGACCCCCTTGTGAACTTTGGCGACCCCTAATGAGGGTCCCGACCACCAGGTTGGGAACCAATGCTTTATTACATTACCCCAAATGTCAAATATCATAACAGACTTGTTACACATCAGTAACAGTTATAAATAAAACATACATTTTACATGTTTCATAAAAGTTGTAATTCATATATTTATACATTATAAATCAGCTCCTAGAACTGCTAGAGGTTTGGGGATCATTACCACCACGATGAACGCCACAGGAAACCTTTTCTTCCTGTGGAAATCAAACTTTACAGCTCATGTCGGGAGACACAGCGGAGACACGAGGTGCTGAGGTGGCTTCGGCCTCCATTCTGCTCCGTTCGTTTAATCTCTGTCTCTCTGGATTACGATCATTAAAACGCTCTGATTTATGGGACATAATGGGACAAAATGTGCAATACACACTGATTCATAGCAGTCATTAAAGTGTCTGCTGTCTGTAAAGGGTCATTAGGTTAAATATCAGACATTATCATGGACATTTTGAATTAACCTGTATGCCACTTCTCATACATGTCTATATGCAACTCATTAAGAATTAACCGTACTGTTAACATGTTTATATTTTTGTCATTGTGTCTATTTAGATTTACACCTTACTGGTTTATATTTGCACTCTACTTTGTACATAATTAGTGGAGTGTCTTAAACTTGCATTCTATGTAATGGCCAGCAATGGGCAGCTCCGATACTATACAGTCTTATGGAGAAATGAGCGACTTCTCAGTTGATTTATGAGCTCAGGTAAACAGCGTTCCGATGAGTTTCTGGTCTCAGGTCTCTAGTCTCAAGTCGTTCATTTAGTAACTGATT